GTGCATGGTGTGCATGGTGTGCATGGTGTGCAGTGCATGGTGTGCATGGTGTGCATGGTGTGCATGGTGTGCAGTGCATGGTGTGCATGGTGTGCAGTGCATGGTGTGCATGGTGTGCACATGGCAGTGTCCACTTACAGGCCCACCAGCAGTTCATCCTCGGAGCAAGCTACCGCCGGGTCCCCCAGGCGGCACACATTCTCCGCTCGCCGCCAATCCCTGAAGCGCCTAGCCGGCTGCCACCCTCGCACCACCTGTGCCAGCACTGCCGGGGGAGGGCAATGGGGTGCAGGGCGCGGTAGGAAAAGGATTCATGAGAGTTTTCAAGAGTTCCCAGGCGGCACTCATTGATTGCTCGCCTCCAATCCCTGAAGCGCCTAGCCGGCTGCCACCCTCGCACCACCTGTGCCAGCACTGCCGGGGGAGGGCAATGGGGTGCAGGGCGCGGTAGGAAAAGGATTCATGAGAGTTTTCAAGAGTTCCCAAGCGGCACTCATTGATTGCTCGCCTCCAATCCCTGAAGCGCCTAGCCGGCTGCCACCCTCGCACCACCTGTGCCAGCACTGCCAGGGGAGGGAAATTGGACGCACGGGCATGGTAGGAAAAGGATCGAGAGAGTTTCCAAGAGTTTTCAAGAGCTCTCAAGAGTTCCCAGGCGGCACTCATTGATTGCTCGCCTCCAATCCCTGAAGCGCCTAGCTGGCTGTGACCCTCGCACAATGCGTGCCAGCACTGCCAGTGGAGGGAAATTGGGTGCAGGGCGCGGTAGGAATGGATACTATCGAGTTCAGATGAGCGCCCAGGCTGCACACACCAATCACTCGCCTCCAATCCCTGAAGCGAAATCTAGCCTTGCACCACCTATGCCAATCAGCACTGTCAGTGGAGGGCAGGGCATTGGGTGCATGGGCATGGCATGCCGTGGGGAGGCATGGAGAGGGATAGAGGAGCAGGACACGTGCCAGCCTTGCAGGACACGTGCCAGCCTTGCAGGACACGTGCCAGCCTTGCAAGACACGTGCCAGCCTTGCAGGACACGTGCCAGCCTTGCAGGACACGTGCCAGCCTTGCAGGACACGTGCCAGCCTTGCAGGACACGTGCCAGCCTTGCAGGACACGTGCCAGCCTTGCAGGACACGTGCCAGCCTTGCAGGACACGTGCCAGCCTTGCAAGACACGTGCCAGCCTTGCAGGACACGTGCCAGCCTTCCAGGACACGTGCCAGCCTTGCAGGACACGTGCCAGCCTTGCAGGACACGTGCCAGCCTTGCAGGACACGTGCCAGCCTTGCAGGACACGTGCCAGCCTTGCAAGACACGTGCCAGCCTTGCAGGACACGTGCCAGCCTTGCAGGACACGTGCCAGCCTTGCAAGACACGTGCCAGCCTTGCAGGACACGTGCCAGCCTTGCAGGGCACGTGCCAGCCTTGCAGGGCACGTGCCAGCCTTGCCGGGGGCGATTGGGTGGAGAGGGGCGGCACAGGGGGAGTGGGCGGCCCCAGGGGGGAGTGGGCGGCACAAGGGGGAGTGGGCGGCACAGGGGGGAGTGGGCGGCACAGGGGGGAGTGGGCGGCACAGGGGGGGAGAGGGGGCGGCACAGGGGGGAGTGAGCGGCACAGGGAGGAGAGGGGGGGGCACAGGGGGTAGTGGGCGGCACAGGGGGGAGACACGGCGGTACAGGGGGGAGTGGGCGGCACAGGGGAGAGTGGGCAGCACAGGGGGGGAGTGGGCGGTACAGGGGGGGAGATGGGGCGGTACAGGGGGGAGAGGCCAGCATGGGAGGGTGGAGGAGGGCACAAACCCCTCATTCCCTGGCGACACACTCCTCACCCAATGCCATCCCCTGCCATCCCCTGCCATCCCCTGCCATCCACTGACGCCCACCTCACTCCACCGACTGCCACCGCGAGCTACCGTTCTGTCTTGTTTCTTCCACGCAACTGCGACTTCCTTTCCCGCCTTCCCTGTCTCTCCCAAACCTCCTCTCCCCTCCTTCCCTCGCTCCACTCATATACCCCTTGCCATCCCTCACCTCCTTCCCGTTCGCCTCCCCTCTCAGTTTCTCAACTCCCTTCCACCTCGTCTCGCCCATCCCCTTTCCCCCCTGTGCTCCATTCACATCGCCCTGCTCCCTTTTTCCCCCCTACTTCGTCTTGTTCCCCATTAATCCGTATTCCCCCACTCTTCCCCCACCCGCTCCTCCCTGTTCTCCCTCACACACACCCTCACCTCCCGCCCTTCGCCCCCACACGACCCACTCCCACCCCCCACCCAGTCACCTAGAGTGGCCCGCCTACCGTCGCCAGCAAGGGGACAGAAGCAGCCGCCCCACAGCCTCACCAAGTCAAGGTCTGTCCCGCCCACCTTCGCCCACGGCAGCAGTCCCTTCAGTAGGACTCTCAACCCCCACCCCTTTCCCCCTCCCTTCCTCCCCCTCCTCGCACCCGCATTCCTCGTGGTAAGTGGCGTTGGCTAATGTTACTGGCTATGCATATAGGAATCACTTGTAAGAATTCTCAAAAGAGGGGCGGCGCAGGGGGGGAGCGGGCGGCACAGGGGGAGTGGGCGGCACAGGGGGAGTGGCCGGCACAGGGGGAGTGGGCGGCACAGGGGGAGTGGGCGGCACAGGGGGAGTGGGCGGCATAGGGGGAGTGGGCGGCATAGGGGGAGTGGGCGGCACAGGGGGAGTGGGCGGCACAGAGAGAGTGGGCGGCACAGGGGGGAGAGGGGGCAGTACAGGGCTGGCCGGCACGGGAGCATGGAGGGGAACACGGTAGGGTGGAGGAGGGCACAAACCCCTCATTCCCTGGCGACACACTCCTCACCCATTGCCATCCCCTGCCATCCCTGACATCCCCTGCCATCCCTGACATCCCCTGCCATCCCTGACATCCCCTGCCATCCCTGACATCCCCTGCCATCCCTGCCTTCCACTGACGCCCCATGACGCCCACCTCACTCCACCGACTGCCACAGAGAGCCACCGTTTTGTCTCGTTTATTCCACACTACTGCGACTTCCCTTCTCGCCTTCCCCGTCTCTCCTAAACCTCCTCTTCCATCCTTCCCTCACTCCACTCACTTACCCCTTGCCATCCCATCCCTCACCCCCTTCCCGTTCGCCTCCCCACAGCCTCTCATCTCCCTTCCACCTCGTCTCGCCCATCCCCTCCCCTTTCCCCCCCCACTCCATCCACTGCTCTTTCCCTGCTCCCTTACTCCCCCTTACGTCCCCTTTCCCCAATCCTTCGTCTTGTTCCCCCTTAATCCTTATTCCCCTGCTCTTCCCCCACCCGCCCCTCCCTGTTCTCCCTCACACCCTCACCTCCCGCCCTTCGCCCCCACACGACCCACTCCCACCCCCACCCAGTCACCTAGAGTGGCCCGCCTACCGCCGCCAGCAAGGGGACAGAAGAAGCCGCCCCACAGCCTTCCCAACTCGACGTCTGTCCCGCCCACCTTCGCCGAAGGCAGCGGTCCCTCCAGTAGGACTCTCAACTCCCACCCTCTCCCCTCCCTTCCCCCCCCCCTCTCGCACCCACAGCCTCCCCAACTCAAGGTCTGTCCTGCCCACCTTCACCCAAGCCATCGATTCCCCTTACGTTCCCCCAGTAGGACCCTCAACTCCCACCCCTGCTCCCCTCCCTTCCCTCCCTCCTCGCAATCGCATTACTTGCGATAAGTTACGTCGGCTAATGATACTGGCTGTGCGTATTGGGATCACTTGTAAGAATTCTGAAGAGTGACAATGCCCGGGTAACACCAGCACGGGCAGGGAGGGCAGGGAGGGCAGGGAGGGCAGGGAGGGCAGGGAGGGCAGGGAGGGCAGCACGGGCAGCACGGGCAGGGAGGGCATTGCTGCTGTGGCAGCACGCTGCTCCCCATTCACCACACGCTGCTCCCCCCATCCCCGCACACGCTGCTCCCCCCATCCCCGCACACGCTGCTCCCCCCATCCCCGCACACGCTGCTCCCCCCATCCCCGCACACGCTGCTCCCCCCATCCCCGCACACGCTGCTCCCCCCATCCCCGCACACGCTGCTCCCCCCATCCCCGCACACGCTTCACCCCCCATCCCCGCACACGCTTCTCCCCCCATCCCCGCACACGCTTCTCCCCCCATCCCCGCACACGTTTCTCCCCCCATCCCCGCACACGCTTCTCCCCCCATCCCCGCACACGCTTCTCCCCCCATCCCCGCACACGCTTCTCCCCCCATCCCTGCACACGCTTCTCCCCCCATCCCCGCACACGCTTCTCCCCCCATCCCCGCACACGCTTCTCCCCCCATCCCCGCACACGCTTCTCCCCCCATCCCCGCACACGCTTCTCCATCCCCGCACACGCTTCTCCCCCCATCCCCGCACACGCTTCTCCCCCCATCCCCGCACACGCTTCACCCCCCATCCCCGCACACGCTTCTCCCCCCATCCCCGCACACGCTTCACCCCCCATCCCCGCACACGCTTCTCCCCCCATCCGCGCACACGCTTCTCCCCCCATCCAAGCACACGCTTCTCCCCCCATCCGCGCACACGCGTTTCCGCTCATCCGCGCACCTTGCGCGGCGGCGGCGGCCGCCAGCCCTGGGGGCACGGTCGCGGTATTCCTCCCTAATACGCCCACACCCGCTCCCCGTCTTCTTCCCCCCCTCGCACCCTGCGTGGCGTTGACACGCGGTCCAACGTAGGGGGCACGGTAGCCGCTACTACTGCATCGTTTCCCCAACTATCCCCCACGCCCTCTCTCGCATTTCCCCTACTATCCCCCACACCCTCTCCCGCATTTCCCCTCCCCCTTCCTTCCTTATTCCTCCGCACCTTGCGTGCCGTTGACACGTGGCGGTATAGCAGCGTTTCCCCTAAATAACCCCCACACCCACTCCCCATCTTCCTCTAATACCCCCCACACCCGCTCCTCCGCACCTTGCGTGGCGTTGACAGGCTGCGACTCCCCGCCCCAGCAGGGAGGGCACTGCAGCAGCAGCAGCAGCAGTAGGAGAGGCAGCTGTGGTAGCAGCGGAGCGCGGGGGGCTGCGGGGGCGACGACGCGGGCGCGGCGACTCCGCTGCGCCGCGGCGCGCTCCATTCCTTCCGCGTGGGCTCGGGGAGCGACGTGGTTCGGGGATTTTTCGGGAACGCGGGCTGTCGGAACAGTGTTTCTCTCGTCCGTCGAGGCAGTAGAGAGGTTCTAGTATCGAGGGAGAGAAAGATGTGTTACTATCGAGGGAGAGGTTCTATTATCGAGGGAGAGGTTCTATTACCGAGGCGCCGCCGGTTCCGCCTTCAAGAGAAAGGGAGATTGACGTGCGGCCGAGGAGCAGTACACGTAGGACAGTTTTATCCTTATTCACCCAGTTGTAACGAATGTACGCGATATAGGGTGGATACAGGTCAAGGAAACGCAATGACACGCGAAACAAGTCTCGGGCGAGCCTGCACCTGGCGCCACGTCAGCTCAAGCACCGAGGTGTGTCCCGAAAATACGTTTTCGCAAAATGCCCTTCCCGACCATTCTAAATCTCGAATACAACCCTCTAAATCGTACAAAGCTCCATTGAGAAGCATTCGGATGTACTTTCGGGACACGCGCTGATGCACACATTTCGTTCACCTCGCTTGCAATGAAGCATGCTTTGATGCCAGCACGGTCAGAATACTACTACAGCAAGTGACGCGCGTCGACTGCGAACGTGGAGTGGACGGAGAGGAAACTCAAACAGGCTCTACGTAGGGCTGTCCAGCGCGTACACTTTGGAGGTTTTACTATTGGTCTACGTATTTGTTACCGCCGGAGTACCCTCAATATTTCGAGCCCCAAAAGCCCCCGCAGACACAATCGCCACTCAGCCCAATTCAAATGCGCGACTGTGGCGATAGCACAACTCTGTAACTAAAGTTCCGCAAATGTCGAAAATGCAAACCTGAATATCGGCGAGAATCGCCAGGTACTAACGAAACTCAATGTATTTTCTCGCTGAGCATTGTAGCAATTCAGACGCGTACACGTGCGTTGCATGTCATGATCACGACTCGTCGCACGGGTGGACATTCCGTATTTTACGTATCTGATGTAAATTGTTGTTACACTTGCAAACCATGGTAACAGTAGCGGGAAGTAGCTGTAAACGTAGGCGCTGGACACGCCCATGCTCGAAATGTTTTTCCATACGGCACAATTTGTGGTGAGGCGAGGCACTCGACGAGCCTCTGTTGGTACGGGTGTTGAAGCGGGAATGTGGGGAGGCTCGGTGGAAACTGAGGTTCGTGTTTCTTCATGGTTGGTAGGTTCGGTTCGGTGGCAGCCTAGGAGGCTTTTCCCTCCACTGAGCGCTGTCAGAACCGGAGCTGATGTGCGGTGCGACCGAACAAAGTTGTGTTGTCGGTTTTTCCCTCCACCAAACAGCATGCGGTTGCCATCTCGCAAATGCTTCCATCAACTTTTCGTTGAACGGTCAATCTGCAGGCTCTAAACGCATTCATTCTTCATTCAGAGATTTCATTTGAAGTATGGATTTTGGAACTAGCGGAGGTTGCAACTACGCTGGGATGGGGAATGCGGGTGGATTGCCCGATTTGCATTGGGATGAAAATTGAGCGCGAAGGGCGTTTGCATCGGCTAGACTACACATACGCACCGCACATGAAACTGGCCTGGTTTTCCTGGTGAGCAGGAAAACAAGTAAACCGTTTCAAGAAACCAAACCTCAAAGTTCCTGTATGGACCTTCGCTCTCATCCAACCCTCAACACACCAGTTCCCAGGCTTCCCATCGTCTGCAACGACCACGCATGAGAATTGCAAGCGTCCGCGACATACTCCCGTTAAAACGTCCCGTGTGCTCGTGAGTAAAAAAATAATCGTCGCCTCTCTTCAGCATGCCATCGCCTTGCGACGCGCGGCATGCCCCGTGCGCGCTATGCGGGCCCAGCGCGCTGGCGGCTTGCGCCCCGGAGCCTTGTTGCCGCAGCGCGCTGCGCGAAGGGGACACTGGCGACTTGCCTGAAAATATCTCCCAACGCGCAACCCCCAGCGCGTAATCCCCAGCGCGCAATCCCCAGCGCGCATTCCCCCAGCGCGCAATTTCCCAGCGCGCTATCGCCTAGGCCCTGATGCCTTTCCCGCCGCCGGTGCGAACGGCGCCCAAGGCACCAAACGCCTTTGGACTCTAAATAATCGAATTTTATTCATCGCTCTTAACCGCAAACGGCCCGTTAACCGCAAACGGTCCGTTATCCTCAATCGCCGTTATCCTCAAACGGCCCGTTATCTCTCGCTGCGTCCCCTCAACCTTTGGGCGAACAGCGCCGTAGACAGGATGTCATTTCGTGCTCACCTCGCCCTTCTCTGAGGAAGGTGGCTGAGAGTGCGAGTGCGAGCTGGAGAGTGTGAAGAAGGAAGGAGTGTGAGAGCGAGAGAGAGAGAGAGAGATATAAAGAGTGAGAGAGTGTGTTTTGTGTGAGAGCGTATGTGAGCGAGCGTATGTGTGATTGTATGTGAGAGCGTGTGTGCGAGCGTACATGGGAGCGTACGTGGGAGCGCGCGAGCGTGTTTGCGAGCGCGTGTGCGAGCGTGTGTGCGAGCGTGTGTGCGAGCGTGTCTGCGAGCGTGTGTGCGAACGTCTGTGCGAGCGTATCTGTGAGCGCGTGTGTATGCGTAATCTGTGTGCGCGTGTGTGAGCGTACGTGGGAGCGTATGTGTGAGCGTACGTAAGAGCGTGCGTGGGAGCGTACGTGGGTGGGAGCGTATCTGTGAGCACGTGTACGAGCGTATCTGTGAGCACGTGTGCGAGCGCATCTGTGAGCACGTGTGCGAGCGTATCTGTGAGGGAGCGTACGTGGGAACGTACGTGGGAGCGTACCTGTGAGGGTTACATCAGCATCTCCGCAGGAGGGATAATCTCTTCTTTCCTTCTACGTGGTCCGGACTTTCTTCTAACCCAGCAGGGAGTAACATGGCTAGATCGCTAAACTTCGTCCTCCTGTTGGGATTCAGCACCTTGCTCCTCCTTTCACGTAAGCTCATACCACTCCCTCCTCCTCCTCCTCCTCCTCCTCCTCCTCCTCCTCCTCCTCCTCCTCCTCCTCCTCCTCCTCCTCCTCATCCTCCTCCTCCTCCTGCTCCTCCTCTTCACCCAGCATGGGTGCCTGCCTAACAGTCGCATTCTCTCTCGCTTCCCCATTCCCCGCTTTCACTTTTGCTGCCTTAATAACTTTCCATCCTTCCCTTGTATTCCCTCGCTTTCCTCTCTCCTCTCTTTTTCCTCCACTCCCTCCCTTCCCTTCTTTCCCTCCCTTTCCGCCCCTGTCCGCCCCTTTCCGCCCCTTCTCGCCCGTCCCGCCCGATCATTCGCCCCCCTCTCCAATTCCTGGATCCGCAGCTTCGTGGCTGCTGCAAGCAGAGATGAGTCGCCCCAATTTGATCGCTTTTATCGAAAGGCCATTGAGAGGCCTGAAGCCGTCACAAACGAGCCTTTCGTCGAGTCAATTCATACGTCATGTCGGATTTTCGTTTTGAGGCGTCTCAAAACTAGACTTTTGTTTTGAGGCGCCTCAAAACTACAATTTATACGTCATGTCGGATTTTCTCTGCTCACAAGTTTCCCTGCTGCTAGGCCATTGAGAAGAGAAGCCGGAAGCCGCTGCCAAGCACCTTATGAGTCGACTCAAAAGTCACCCCATTGAGAAGCCGAAAGCTGTTGCCAAGCCTAACTGATTGTTATGTGGAGGGAATCTTCTAAGAGCTTACCATTCATTCATCTCCAGGCCTCCACATACACCGTCCTTGGTGCGTAGGGAGGGAGGATACCACTTGTGAGGCACATCGAGGGATGCCACCCTATCCTTGCTTCTGATCTGTGTTTTCCGCATCTCTCTTCCCATTTCTCTTCCCATCTCTCCTCCATCTCTCTTCCATCTCTCTTCCAACTCTCTCTCTCTCTCTCTCTCTCTCTCTCTCTCTCTCTCTCTCTCTCTCTCTCTCTCTCTCTCTCTCTCTCTCTCTTCCCAGATCTCTTCCATCTCTCTTCCATCTCTCTTCCAACTCTCTCTCTCTCTCTTCCCATCTCTCTTCCATCTCTCTTCCATCTCTCTTCCATCTCTCTCCCATCTCTCTTCCCATCTCTCTTCCATCTCTCTTCCATCTCTCTCCCATCTCTCTTCCCATCTCTCTTCCATATCTCTTCCATCTCTCTTCCATCTCTCTTCCATCTCTCTTCCCATCTCTCTTCCCATCTCTCTTCCATCTCTCTTCCATCTCTCTTCCATCTCTCTCCCATCTCTCTTCCCATCTCTCTTCCATCTCTCTTCCATCTCTCTTCCATCTCTCTTCCATCTCTCTCCCATCTCTCTTCCCATCTCTCTTCCATCTCTCTTCCAACTCTCTCCCATCTCTCTTCCCATCTCTCTTCCATCTCTCTTCCATCTCTCTCCCATCTCTCTTCCATCTCTCTTCCATCTCTCTTCCATCTCTCTTCCATCTCTCTTCCATCTCTCTTCCCATCTCTCTTCCATCTCTCTTCCATCTCTCTTCCATCTCTCTTCCATCTCTCTTCCCATCTCTCTTCCATCTCTCTTCCATCTCTCTTCCATCTCTCTTCCATCTCTCTTCCATCTCTCTTCCATCTCTCTCCCATCTCTCTTCCATCTCTCTTCCATCTCTCTCCCATCTCTCTTCCCATCTCTCTTCCATCTCTCTTCCATCTCTCTTCCATCTCTCTTCCATCTCTCTCCCATCTCTCTTCCCATCTCTCTTCCGTCTCTCTTCCATCTCTCTCCCATCTCTCTTCCCATCTCTCTTCCATCTCTCTTCCATCTCTCTCCCATCTCTCTTCCATCTCTCTTCCATCTCTCTTCCATCTCTCTTCCCATCTCTCTTCCATCTCTCTTCCGTCTCTCTTCCATCTCTCTTCCATCTCTCTTCCCATCTCTCTTCCATCTCTCTTCCATCTCTCTTCCATCTCTCTTCCATCTCTCTTCCATCTCTCTTCCATCTCTCTTCCATCTCTCTTCCCATCTCTCTTCCCATCTCTCTTCCATCTCTCTCCCATCTCTCTCCCATCTCTCAACCCATCTCTCTTTCATCTCTCTTCCATCTCTCTCCCATCTCTCTTCCATCTCTCTCCCATCTCTCTTCCATCTCTCTTCCATCTCTCTTCCATCTCTCTCCCATCTCTCTTCCCATCTCTCTTCCATCTCTCTTCCATCTCTCTCCCATCTCTCTTCCATCTCTCTTCCATCTCTCTTCCATCTCTCTTCCATCTCTCTTCCATCTCTCTTCCCATCTCTCTTCCATCTCTCTTCCGTCTCTCTTCCATCTCTCTTCCATCTCTCTTCCCATCTCTCTTCCATCTCTCTTCCATCTCTCTTCCATCTCTCTTCCATCTCTCTTCCATCTCTCTTCCATCTCTCTTCCATCTCTCTTCCATCTCTCTTCCATCTCTCTTCCATCTCTCTTCCCATCTCTCTTCCATCTCTCTTCCATCTCTTTTCCATCTCTCTCCCATCTCTCTTCCCATCTCTCTTCCATCTCTCTTCCATCTCTCTTCCATCTCTCTTCCATCTCTCTCCCATCTCTCTTCCCATCTCTCTTCCATCTCTCTTCCATCTCTCTCCCATCTCTCTTCCCATCTCTCTTCCATCTCTCTTCCATCTCTCTCCCCATCTCTCTTCCATCTCTCTTCCATCTCTCTTCCATCTCTCTTCCCATCTCTCTTCCATCTCTCTCCCATCTCTCTTCCATCTCTCTTCCATCTCTCTTCCATCTCTAAGTTGCCAAATACGCTTATAGCGTTTATACGCTTATCGTATATACGCTAGCGTATATAAGCTATCCGCTTAGGGGGCGATTTGGACATACGCTTTTTCGGGCAGGGAAAAAACTTCCCCGGGCAGGGCAAAAACAACCGCCAGGGCTATCATAGGGGGAATCTAGGGTGTTATGTTTCAGAGGTGATTTTTTTAACCCAAAATTAGATTGCAACTTCTACACACAGTACTACATAATACTCTCCTACCGCCAGGGCTATTACAGGGGGGAATCTAGGGTGTTATTCCACGATTTTTTTAGGTCGGGCTGCCCCAAAAAAATATTTGCCAGCGTTTAGCGTATTTGCTGGTGTTTAGCGTTTAGTGTGTAAACGCCAGCGTATATCCGCTATACGCAAAGGGTCTCTAGCGTTTTTGGCAACTTAGTTCCATCTCTCTTCCATCTCTCTCCCATCTCTCTTCCCATCTCTCTTCCCATCTCTCTTCCATCTCTCTTCCATCTCTCTTCCATCTCTCTCCCATCTCTCTTCCCATCTCTCTTCCATCTCTCTTCCATCTCTCTCCCATCTCTCTTCCCATCTCTCTTCCATCTCTCTTCCATCTCTCTTCCATGTCTCTTCCATCTCTCTTCCCATCTCTCTTCCCATCTCTCTTCCATCTCTCTTCCATCTCTCTTCCATCTCTCTCCCATCTCTCTTCCATCTCTCTTCCATCTCTCTCCCATCTCTCTTCCCATCTCTCTTCCATCTCTCTTCCATCTCTCTTCCATCTCTCTTCCATCTCTCTCCCATCTCTCTTCCATCTCTCTTCCATCTCTCTTCCATCTCTCTCCCATCTCTCTTCCCATCTCTCTTCCATCTCTCTTCCATCTCTCTCCCATCTCTCTTCCATCTCTCTTCCATCTCTCTTCCATCTCTCTTCCATCTCTCTTCCATCTCTCTTCCCATCTCTCTTCCATCTCTCTTCCATCTCTCTTCCATCTCTCTTCCCATCTCTCTTCCATCTCTCTTCCATCTCTCTTCCATCTCTCTTCCATCTCTCTTCCATCTCTCTTCCATCTCTCTTCCCATCTCTCTTCCCATCTCTCTTCCATCTCTCTCCCATCTCTCTCCCATCTCTCAACCCATCTCTCTTTCATCTCTCTTCCATCTCTCTCCCATCTCTCTTCCATCTCTCTCCCATCTCTCTTCCCATCTCTCTTCCATCTCTCTTCCATCTCTCTCCCATCTCTCTTCCCATCTCTCTTCCATCTCTCTTCCATCTCTCTCCCATCTCTCTTCCATCTCTCTTCCATCTCTCTTCCATCTCTCTTCCATCTCTCTTCCATCTCTTCCATCTCTCTTCCATCTCTCTTCCCATCTCTCTTCCATCTCTCTCCCATCTCTCTTCCGCCAACCCACCAGGCCGCCACGCAGATCATTCCATGGGATCTGAACTGGACGAAGCGCGTGCACCTCCCGCAGATTTTTATCGGTGAGGATCTAGGTGCGTCATCACACACACCGCGCTTGTTCTCTCGGTGACGTTTGAGTCGACTCAAAAGTTGCTTCCGAGGATCTATAATGGCGACGATTTAGGTACATCCTCACACGCTTGTTCTCTCTCCTGTTTGCCGCACAGAAAAGTCTGCCTCTCTGCTCTAGGGTTACAGTCAAGGGCTTGGGGATTCTTGAAGCACACATGCACGAAGTTTTTAAAGCTTTTCTCACAAGCCACTGTTCGTCACATGGACCCTTTTTTGTCAGGGGTCTGGCCTCTGGGCTTGTTTTACGTCGACTCAAAACACTCCTTTCGTCACGCCCATGGATCTCTTTTGTCAGAGGTCTGGCCTCTGCTCTGTCCATGTGTGCTCACCTTTGCCTTGTATCACTCCGCTGTGCCCGGGTGGCTTTTGCGTCGACTCAGAAGTCACCTTGCTTCTGGGCTCTCCGAGTGTGTTTATCTTTCCCTTGTATCACCCTGCTTCGCCTGGACATCTTCTCTCAACGTCACACCACCGCGCTACATCACTCCACCACCACCATACCATGTGCCCCTCCCCAACGAGCTGACTTTTGAGTCGACTCAAAAGTCACTCCACCACCACCATACCATGTGTCCCTCCCCATCGTATCCTGCAGTGTTCAAATGTGTGGACTTGGCGTGGCATGATCTGTGGATGATGAGAAAGCATTCAATGTTGATTCTTGTATGCCCACCACTGCCCATACCTGATGCAATCTGTACATTGTTTATATCCACGCGTCTCGCAGTGTTCAGATGGGTGGACTTGGCGTGGCATGATCTGTGGATCATGGACGATGAGAAAGCATTCAAAGCCTGCGACTTCAAGCGGGCAAAGCGCCTTCGACCCCTTGTTGTTGGCGGGCAGTACAAGTAAGTCCTGGCAGCAGCTGTCACAGAATCTATTGGTTGAGAAGGAGAAAGCAGCAGGAGTGAAGAGACAAGAGCAGGTAACTCAGGAGTTTCCGACACATCATAAGTAGTTTTGAACAGTACACGTGAGTCCGGGTAGTGCATGTAAGTGTGAGCACTATTTTATGTCTGGCATTTCGAGCCAATCCAGGCATTTTTTAAAGAGTTTGGCAGTACAAGTAAGAAATGCCGGTTACAGATGCCTTCCCGTGTGTCCATGTCCATACCCTCCTTGCCTAGTGCTTAAATGCTTGTAAATGAAACGCCAGTACGAAGCAGTGCATGTAACATGCCATGCCATATGAGTCGGTTACGTGGTGTCCGTATGACAGTAAGCTCCCGCTTTTCCGTTTTCAACTGGTATAGCACCTCTGTTTTGTCTCCTGGTGAACTGTGTTACCCAACTGTGTTACCCAACTGTGTTACCCAACTGTGTTACCCAACTGTGTTACACCACTGTGTTACCCAACTGTGTTACCCAACTGTGCTACCCAACTGTGCTACCCAACTGTGTTACCCAACTGTGCCCCTTTTCTTTCCTTTGCCCCCCTTCCCCTTCCCACCTCCCCCTCCCCCCACCCCATTGGGGGTTGCTTCCAGATATACTGTCACTAATATCGGTGGCTTTTATTTCGCCTCAAGTGGCCTTCTGCAGTGTAACTATTACAAAGTGAAGCTGTCGTTTAAATTGTTGGCCCCTCCGTAAGTGATGTGGTCTGATTTGCATACAGAAATTTATTGAACAGTAATTGAGTTAAACCGAAGTGTACTGGCCAGTGTTGTAAACCCCATCCATGAATGAATGACGAGCATTCAGCATTCACTTTAATATACATAAATAGGTAAAGCTTTGAGATACGGTAGCATTACTGGGTTTTTTTTTGCTCAGACATGAGTTCTTCCCTGCCATGATAAACGTTTGAAAACGTCGCACTGCATTTTCCTGCCTCTACTACTTCAATTTCCCCTAACCCCTCCAACCTTCCCTTCCCTTGTAGGTTCCAACAATACCACAATAATCAACCCCACCCTGCCCATTATGCACTGTTTTGGCACAATGTCCGTCCAGTCCAGCTGTGTCAATAATATCCAGCCTCAATAATTCTTACAGAAACCACATTACCATATCCGTACTTTTATCCCTTTTACCTGCACTCCGTACAGTGGCACAATGAGCACTGTAAAGTGTATAGCACAAGTGGGTACACACAGTCTCGTACACCCAGCTTCTGGGTGTAGCACTATTCGTCCTCTGTCTGGCCCCGCGGGCGCAGGTTGAGATTCTTGTCTCTCTTCTGAAAGCCTGTCATCCCCTGTCCGCAACCTACCTTAAGCGATGTTTTAGTGGACTCAAAAAGCTTCTGGGTGTAACACTAGTCCTCCTCTGTCTGGCCCTGTGCGTGGAGGTTGAGATTCTTGTCTCTCTTTTGGAAGCCTGTCATACCCTGCCTGCACCGCACCCCACCTTAAGAGATGTTTTAGTGACTCAAAAAGCACCTGTGGCACTAATCCTCCTCTGCCTGGCCCTGTGCACGCAGGTTGAGATTCTTGTTTCTCTTCTGAAAGTCTGTCATCCCCTGTCCGCTCCCCGCCACCCCCACCTTCCCCCCCACGTCCTCTGGCGATTTGAATAGGGCAGGGCAGGGCAGGGCAGGGCAGGGCAGGGCAGGGCAGGGCAGGGCAGGGCAGGGCAGGGCAGGGCAGGGCAGGGCAGGGCAGGGCAGGGCAGGGCAGGGCAGGGCAGGGCAGGGCAGGGCAGGGCAGGGCAGGGCAGGGCAGGGCAGGGCAGGGCAGGGCAGGCAGGCAGGGCAGGGCAGGGCAGGGCAGGGCAGGGCAGGGCAGGGCAGGGCAGGGCAGGGCAGGGCAGGGCAGGGCAGGGCAGGGCAGGGCAGGGCAGGGCAGGGCAGGGCAGGGCAGGGCAGGGCAGGGCAGGGCAGGGCAGGGCAGGGCAGGGCAGGGCAGGGCAGGGCAGGGCAGGGCAGGGCAGGGCAGGGCAGGGCAGGGCAGGGCAGGGCAGGGCAGGGCAGGGCAGGGCAGGGCAGGGCAGGGCAGGGCAGGGCAGGGCAGGGCAGGGCAGGGCAGGGCAGGGCAGGGCAGGGCAGGGCAGGGCAGGGCAGGGCAGGGCAGGGCAGGGCAGGGCAGGGCAGGGCAGGGCAGGGCAGGGCAGGGCAGGGCAGGGCAGGGCAGGGCAGGGCAGGGCAGGGCAGGGCAGGGCAGGGCAGGGCAGGGCAGGGCAGGGCAGGGCAGGGCAGGGCAGGGCAGGGCAGGGCAGGGCAGGGCAGGGCAGGGCAGGGCAGGGCAGGGCAGGGCAGGGCAGGGCAGGGCAGGGCAGGGCAGGGCAGGGCAGGGCAGGGCAGGGCAGGGCAGGGCAGGGCAGGGCAGGGCAGGGCAGGGCAGGGCAGGGCAGGGCAGGGCAGGGCAGGGCAGGGCAGGGCAGGGCAGGGCAGGGCAGGGCAGGGCAGGGCAGGGCAGGGCAGGGCAGGGCAGGGCAGGGCAGGGCAGGGCAGGGCAGGGCAGGGCAGGGCAGGGCAGGGCAGGGCAGGGCAGGGCAGGGCAGGGCAGGGCAGGGCAGGGCAGGGCAGGGCAGGGCAGGGCAGGGCAGGGCAGGGCAGGGCAGGGCAGGGCAGGGCAGGGCAGGGCAGGGCAGGGCAGGGCAGGGCAGGGCAGGGCAGGGCAGGGCAGGGCAGGGCAGGGCAGGGCAGGGCAGGGCAGGGCAGGGCAGGGCAGGGCAGGGCAGGGCAGGGCAGGGCAGGGCAGGGCAGGGCAGGGCAGGGCAGGGCAGGCAGGGCATATCCGGGCAGGGCAGGGCAGGGCAGGGCAGGGCAGGGCAGGGCAGGGCAGGGCAGGGCAGGGCAGGGCAGGGCAGGGCAGGGCAGGGCAGGGCAGGGCAGGGCAGGGCAGGGCAGGGCAGGGCAGGGCAGGGCAGGGCAGGGCAGGGCAGGGCAGGGCAGGGCAGGGCAGGGCAGGGCAGGGCAGGGCAGGGCAGGGCAGGGCAGGGCAGGGCAGGGCAGGGCAGGGCAGGGCAGGGCAGGGCAGGGCAGGGCAGGGCAGGGCAGGGCAGGGCAGGGCAGGGCAGGGCAGGGCAGGGCAGGGCAGGGCAGGGCAGGGCAGGGCAGGGCAGGCAGGCAGGCGGCAGGGCAGGGCAGGGCAGGGCAGGGCAGGGCAGGGCAGGGCAGGGCAGGGCAGGGCAGGGCAGGCAGGCAGGGCAGGGCAGGGCAGGGCAGGGCAGGGCAGGGCAGGGCAGGGCAGGGCAGGCAGGGCAGGGCAGGGCAGGGCAGGGCAGGGCAGGGCAGGGCAGGGCAGGGCAGGGCAGGGCAGGGCAGGGCAGGGCAGGGCAGGGCAGGGCAGGGCAGGGCAGGGCAGGGCAGGGCAGGGCAGGGCAGGGCAGGGCAGGCAGGGCAGGGCAGGGCAGGCAGGGCAGGGCAGGGCAGGGCAGGGCAGGGCAGTGCAGGGCAGGGCAGGGCAGGGCAGGGCAGGGCAGGGCAGGGCAGGGCAGGGCAGGCAGGGCAGGGCAGGGCAGGGCAGGGGCAGGGCAGGGCAGGGCAGGGCAGGGCAGGGCAGGGCAGGGCAGGGCAGGGCAGGGCAGGGCAGGGCAGGGCAGGGCAGGGCAGGGCAGGGCAGGGCAGGGCAGGGCAGGGCAGGGCAGGGCAGGGCAGGGCAGGGCAGGGCAGGGCAGGGCAGGGCAGGGCAGGGCAGGGCAGGGCAGGGCAGGGCAGGGCAGGGCAGGGCAGGGCAGGGCAGGGCAGGGCAGGGCAGGGCAGGGCAGGGCAGGGCAGGGCAGGGCAGGGCAGGGCAGGGCAGGGCAGGCAGGGCAGGGCAGGGCAGGGCAGGGCAGGGCAGGGCAGGGCAGGGCAGGGCAGGGCAGGGCAGGGCAGGGCAGGGCAGGGCAGGGCAGGGCAGGGCAGGGCAGGGCAGGGCAGGGCAGGGCAGGGCAGGGCAGGGCAGGGCAGGGCAGGGCAGGGCAGGGCAGGGCAGGGCAGGGCAGGGCAGGGCAGGGCAGGGCAGGCAGGGCAGGCAGGGCAGGGCAGGGCAGGGCAGGGCAGGGCAGGGCAGGGCAGGGCAGGGCAGGGCAGGGCAGGGCAGGGCAGGGCAGGGCAGGGCAGGGCAGGGCAGGGCAGGGCAGGGCAGGGCAGGGCAGGGCAGGGCAGGGCAGGGCAGGGCAGGGCAGGGCAGGGCAGGGCAGGGCAGGGCAGGGCAGGGCAGGGCAGGGCAGGGCAGGGCAGGGCAGGGCAGGGCAGGGCAGGGCAGGGCAGGGCAGGGCAGGGCAGGGCAGGGCAGGGCAGGGCAGGGCAGGGCAGGGCAGGGCAGGGCAGGGCAGGGCAGGGCAGGGCAGGGCAGGGCAGGGCAGGGCAGGGCAGGGCAGGGCAGGGCAGGGCAGGGCAGGGCAGGGCAGGGCAGGGCAGGGCAGGGCAGGGCAGGGCAGGGCAGGGCAGGGCAGGGCAGGGCAGGGCAGGGCAGGGCAGGGCAGGGCAGGGCAGGGCAGGGCAGGGCAGGGCAGGGCAGGGCAGGGCAGGGCAGGGCAGGGCAGGGCAGGGCAGGGCAGGGCAGGGCAGGGCAGGGCAGGGCAGGGCAGGGCAGGGCAGGGCAGGGCAGGGCAGGGCAGGGCAGGGCAGGGCAGGGCAGGGCAGGGCAGGGCAGGGCAGGGCAGGGCAGGGCAGGGCAGGGCAGGGCAGGGCAGGGCAGGGCAGGGCAGGGCAGGGCAGGGCAGGGCAGGGCAGGGCAGGGCAGGGCAGGGCAGGGCAGGGCAGGGCAGGGCAGGGCAGGGCAGGGCAGGGCAGGGCAGGGCAGGGCAGGGCAGGGCAGGGCAGGGCAGGGCAGGGCAGGGCAGGGCAGGGCAGGGCAGGGCAGGGCAGGGCAGGGCAGGGCAGGGCAGGGCAGGGCAGGGCAGGGCAGGGCAGGGCAGGGCAGGGCAGGGCAGGGCAGGGCAGGGCAGGGCAGGGCAGGGCAGGGCAGGGCAGGGCAGGGCAGGGCAGGGCAGGGCAGGGCAGGGCAGGGCAGGGCAGGGCAGGGCAGGGCAGGGCAGGGCAGGGCAGGGCAGGGCAGGGCAGGGCAGGGCAGGGCAGGGCAGGGCAGGGCAGGGCAGGGCAGGGCAGGGCAGGGCAGGGCAGGGCAGGGCAGGGCAGGGCAGGGCAGGGCAGGGCAGGGCAGGGCAGGGCAGGGCAGGGCAGGGCAGGGCAGGGCAGGGCAGGGCAGGGCAGGGCAGGGCAGGGCAGGGCAGGGCAGGGCAGGGCAGGGCAGGGCAGGGCAGGGCAGGGCAGGGCAGGGCAGGGCAGGGCAGGGCAGGGCAGGGCAGGGCAGGGCAGGGCAGGGCAGGGCAGGGCAGGGCAGGGCAGGGCAGGGCAGGGCAGGGCAGGGCAGGGCAGGGCAGGGCAGGGCAGGGCAGGGCAGGGCAGGGCAGGGCAGGGCAGGGCAGGGCAGGGCAGGGCAGGGCAGGGCAGGGCAGGGCAGGGCAGGGCAGGGCAGGGCAGGGCAGGGCAGGGCAGGGCAGGGCAGGGCAGGGCAGGGCAGGGCAGGGCAGGGCAGGGCAGGGCAGGGCAGGGCAGGGCAGGGCAGGGCAGGGCAGGGCAGGGCAGGGCAGGGCAGGGCAGGGCAGGGCAGGGCAGGGCAGGGCAGGGCAGGGCAGGGCAGGGCAGGGCAGGGCAGGGCAGGGCAGGGCAGGGCAGGGCAGGGCAGGGCAGGGCAGGGCAGGGCAGGGCAGGGCAGGGCAGGGCAGGGCAGGGCAGGGCAGGGCAGGGCAGGGCAGGGCAGGGCAGGGCAGGGCAGGGCAGGGCAGGGCAGGGCAGGGCAGGGCAGGGCAGGGCAGGGCAGGGCAGGGCAGGGCAGGGCAGGGCAGGGCAGGGCAGGGCAGGGCAGGGCAGGGCAGGGCAGGGCAGGGCAGGGCAGGGCAGGGCAGGGCAGGGCAGGGCAGGGCAGGGCAGGGCAGGGCAGGGCAGGGCAGGGCAGGGCAGGGCAGGGCAGGGCAGGGCAGGGCAGGGCAGGGCAGGGCAGGGCAGGGCAGGGCAGGGCAGGGCAGGGCAGGGCAGGGCAGGGCAGGGCAGGGCAGGGCAGGGCAGGGCAGGGCAGGGCAGGGCAGGCAGGGCAGGGCAGGGCAGGGCAGGGCAGGCAGGGCAGGGCAGGGCAGGGCAGGGCAGGGCAGGGCAGGGCAGGGCAGGGCAGGGCAGGGCAGGGCAGGGCAGGCAGGGCAGGGCAGGGCAGGGCAGGGCAGGGCCAGGGCAGGGCAGGGCAGGGCAGGGCAGGGCAGGGCAGGGCAGGGCAGGGCAGGCAGGCAGGGCAGGGCAGGGCAGGGCAGGGCAGGCAGGCAGGGCAGGGCAGGGCAGGGCAGGGCAGGGCAGGGCAGGGCAGGGCAGGGCAGGGCAGGGCAGGGCAGGGCAGGGCAGGGCAGGGCAGGGCAGGGCAGGGCAGGGCAGGGCAGGGCAGGGCAGGGCAGGGCAGGGCAGGGCAGGGCAGGGCAGGGCAGGGCAGGGCAGGGCAGGGCAGGGCAGGGCAGGGCAGGGCAGGGCAGGGCAGGGCAGGGCAGGGCAGGGCAGGGCAGGGCAGGGCAGGGCAGGGCAGGGCAGGGCAGGGCAGGGCAGGGCAGGGCAGGGCAGGGCAGGGCAGGGCAGGGCAGGGCAGGGCAGGGCAGGGCAGGGCAGGGCAGGGCAGGGCAGGGCAGGGCAGGGCAGGGCAGGGCAGGGCAGGGCAGGGCAGGGCAGGGCAGGGCAGGGCAGGGCAGGGCAGGGCAGGGCAGGGCAGGGCAGGGCAGGGCAGGGCAGGGCAGGGCAGGGCAGGGCAGGGCAGGGCAGGGCAGGGCAGGGCAGGGCAGGGCAGGGCAGGGCAGGGCAGGGCAGGGCAGGGCAGGGCAGGGCAGGGCAGGGCAGGGCAGGGCAGGGCAGGGCAGGGCAGGGCAGGGCAGGGCAGGGCAGGGCAGGGCAGGGCAGGGCAGGGCAGGGCAGGGCAGGGCAGGGCAGGGCAGGGCAGGGCAGGGCAGGGCAGGGCAGGGCAGGGCAGGGCAGGGCAGGGCAGGGCAGGGCAGGGCAGGGCAGGGCAGGGCAGGGCAGGGCAGGGCAGGGCAGGGCAGGGCAGGGCAGGGCAGGGCAGGGCAGGGCAGGGCAGGGCAGGGCAGGGCAGGGCAGGGCAGGGCAGGGCAGGGCAGGGCAGGGCAGGGCAGGGCAGGGCAGGGCAGGGCAGGGCAGGGCAGGGCAGGGCAGGGCAGGGCAGGGCAGGGCAGGGCAGGGCAGGGCAGGGCAGGGCAGGGCAGGGCAGGGCAGGGCAGGGCAGGGCAGGGCAGGGCAGGGCAGGGCAGGGCAGGGCAGGGCAGGGCAGGGCAGGGCAGGGCAGGGCAGGGCAGGGCAGGGCAGGGCAGGGCAGGGCAGGGCAGGGCAGGGCAGGGCAGGGCAGGGCAGGGCAGGGCAGGGCAGGGCAGGGCAGGGCAGGGCAGGGCAGGGCAGGGCAGGGCAGGGCAGGGCAGGGGGAAAGCACTCACCCGTGCAAACAGTTCACCATTAGAGAGGAGGTGTGACTTATGAGAATTCTCAGAAGTCACACCAACAATTCGCTGTTGGAGAGGAGAGGACGCGCATATTCCAGTGTTGGATGTGCGGCCCGGATGCAATTCAGTGCTTTATGAGACGGGTCACGGGTGCAGTGCTTGCCATGCGGTGATTGTAATAGAGGTTCCACTCAAGGAGATCTTCGTAAAGCTGCTCATACCACCACGCATGCGGCCCGGGTGCACTGCTTTATGAAGCGTCGCTTGCCACGCAGCTATTATAATAAATGTTCCACTCCAGGATATTGTGGTGAAGCTCCTCACGCCACTGATCGGCGCTGTTGTAGAGGAGAATGCGCTCAGGGTCCTGAAAGCGTGTGAGCACGAGGTACTGCATGTACTTCAACACAAACATGCCACAGTTACACGCGTGCGTCTGCTGTGTTGTCTGCAGCAGGAGGGGGTGAGGCAAGTGAATGCGGTTTAGAGTGAGCGTGTGATGAATGGAGAAGCAGGTTGACCGTCAATGCGAACCCCTCATCAGTACACCTCACCCACCTGAATTTTGACTAAAGGCACGCGAGCAATCCAGTCGTCTGCATCTGCCTCAGACACCACGCTTGGCATCGACTCTCGGAGCTGCTGCCGCAGGTACCTGCCATGTTAGGCACACCACTTGCTCGAATGATGATTTCAAATCACAGGGTTACACGCACAAGGGCACAGGGTCGGGGATAGGTGCTTACTGCCGCAATGGTGCTTCGAATTTTGTGTGCCGGGACAGGGAGTCGGCATGTAGGATTCGGGTGGGGCTGCGTGGCAGTGTGGGCGAGCGGTCGTTGTCCAGGATGACCAAACTCCAATGGTTACTGCCACAACAATGAGAATGAGAATGGCAACGACAATGACAATGAAAATGAGTCCCCCATGATGCGCACCATCAGCGCACAGACACAGACAACTTGCAATGGTTACTCTGCGTGTAGCGGGATGAGAACCCATCTGAACCGCAGCATATTCGCATGCCCAAGGACCGGGTACTTCTCGCCTGGGCGACGAGGCCGTGAGATTAAACCAAAAGTAAAAGTGGAGCAGTATAGCCATGGACACTTCTCGTCCTTGTTGTATAAGTAGTGGAGCATTATGGACAAGACATGGAACGAAGGCATGCAAGGTACGTGAAATGAGGGTGTCTTTGAGACGTCTCAGAAATTCCTCATACTCGTGTACGTACTGGAGCATTGTGGACACCACAAGGAACGAGGGCATGGAAGGTCTGAGTCAGCACGGGCCGTGAGCATGATTCACATGCATTGCAATTACAACACTCACAGTCCGAACCACTGGATTACTTCTCCACACACCCATTGCCCCGCCTAGAGAGTGTCTGCGTCGCGCCTAGTCAGCACAAGCTGTGAACCGGATACGTGATACGGCATCTCGAGTTTTGTGAAGGTCTTTAAGCGAGCCTCACCATGGGAGGGCTCGTCTTTCTCGTGCGGCTCTATACATAGCAACGGGGTTTGCTTAAGTCGCGGTGGATCGCGTGCGTCGCACCGCGAACAATGGTGAGAGACCGACGCGAAAAGCAGCTGCTTAGAGGTTCGCGCTGTTTGTTCTCAATCGCGCAAGGCTGGGGACCGGCAAGCCTTTGTGCAGCACCACTTGAGCTGCGGTGAGGATCGATTGGCGGTTGGGGAAGCGAGACGCCGCCAGGATGAGGCAACCCAAATAAATGGTCTCGTCAGGAATCGTCACATCAGAGTGTGGCTAGGTTTGCAGTCGGGTTACGGACCATCCCCAATATCTCTACAGAATTGATTGGCACGCGACTGGTCCCACAACCTTCGCGCTGAAGATGAGACCTTGCCACTGCTTGCTCACAATCTACGCTTCTCCTAAAACTTTGCGTCGCTAGCTGGTCGTGCTCAAGAAGATCAGGAAGGGAGGAAATAGGTCGAAGCGCGCGCGTGCGGGAACGCGGAAAAGTAGCGTGCGATCAATCCGCAAGCTGAGGACGCGTTATCTCCGCAAGATCAGCGCAACACCAATCACTCCGTCGGGACGACCGATCAGTAGCGTTGAGGGCTGGAAGTTGTGCACTTACAATCTGCTCGCACTGTATGTAACAACGATCCCAAACCCCCAGCAATTCAACCCCAATTTCCACATGGTTGTTTTCAAATTCAAGAATCTTTAACTTGCATTAACCAAAAACCATGTTACCACCTGGTGCACAGAAGTTGTTATAAGTTGTAAGAAGAAGAGTTGTGCAGAATGCAATAACGCGGAAGTGATTACAACTACGTCGGAATAATGAGACCTAGCACAAATAAAGAGAAAGCTAGCTAGGTCGAGGTTGAGTGCTGTTGGGTTGGGAAACCCGAAGGTGACACGGTGGACGTTCGGAAGGCGAGGAACACGGACTGAGCCTGAACCCCGAAAGTTGGAGTTGTACGCGCATGAGGTGCCTCAGTAAGGAATTAGGGAAAAATCCTTACACTACCCCACTCCCCCCCGCCCTTAAGAAAGGTGGTCAATATCAGGCACGCCTCGGCGGGAAAGGTAATCCCGTAATACCGGGTGGCCTTGCAGCAAGTCAGCCGGGACCCATGTGTCATCTTCACTTGTGCGATCCACCCAACGGAGAAGGAAATCGACGTGGCGTCTAGCTGGTGTCGCACCTATGCGATGAGACAAAATCTTGTGAGGCTGCGGTGTCGGGTCTCATACAGGCCGAACACTTGGTGCGATGTTGGGCCGAGTGATGTCGGACGGCTGCGGAGCCACGTAATGGCGGAGCACACTGACGTGGAAAACGTCGTGGATTTTCTAGTCGTCCAGTAATAATAGCTCCGCCGTGACCGGGGTCAACATCCGAATGATGTGGACGGGTCCCAAGTAGCGGGGACGCAATTTGGCGGGTTGGGGCACGTGAAGATTCTTGGTGTCTAGTAGTGTTATAGACTAAGGATGGAGTCTATGAAGATTAGGAGCCGAAATATCTCAAAATCGTTGGGCCTAGTTTCTGGACAGAAAAGTCGAGTTCACAAGAAACGCCGTCGACAAAAAGTTCACGGTTAAAACTTCACCAAACTCAGATATGTTGTAGCCCTAGTCTGTGGCTACAATTCCCAATTTTAATCGTACGATATGGTGAAGTATTTCTTGAGGTATCAGTTTCGGCGCACTAGCGGGTATGCTGCCATAGAATCTTAACTCAATCACAAAGTTCACACAATTTTCACACAAGGAAGTAAGAGTAGCAATTAACCAGGTGGGAAGGAAGAAGAGGACGAGAGGGAAGGTCCCCAAGGAGTCCCCAACCAAGGAAACCCCATAAGCACACCAAATCCCTTCCCTATAGGAACCCCACTTTTACTTTTGTCACTTACCAACCCATGTCATCCACCTTGCCCAACTTGGCCACACTTGCCAACCTGGTTTGGCACCTCCCAACCACTTGGCAGCATCTACAGTGATGTTGATGAATTTCCCAACCCCCAAAAGTCTATACTCCTTATGGAGTCAACCCCACAACTTCCCATAGTCACCACAACCAAATATCAAAAGCATACGAACTTCCAACGTTCGTAACTTTCTTGTTCGTGCTCCGATTGAAGCGATACTTGGTTCGTCGGAAAGCTCTTGAGCAGAGGAGTCACTTCAGATATCTGCTCAAGCCAAATAACATTCACACATACTCAGAAAAAACCAAACCACATCAAACACAAATTCTTGCACACGCTCACACCACGCATGCAACGCACGAACATGTGATGGGAGGCAGACAGACGTGAATGCAAGTGATAGCATCACATAACAAACTCCCCCTCTGGCTGCCTACTATCATCCCACATGCCATAGCTCAAGCATGCACACTCAATGCACACTCAATGCACACTCATCCCAGCAAGCTTCATGCCCTTCCAATGCTCAGATTCAGCCAGGCGCTTGGTGAGAATGTCAGCCGCCTGCTGATGGGTCTTCACAATCTCCAGTCGCACCTCCTTGTCCAGGAGCCTCCTCACCCAGTGCCACTTGGGCCTGATGTGCTTTGTCAGCCCATGAAGGCAGGCGTTCTTGGCAAGCTTCACTGCCGACTCATTGTCACAGAACATGATTGTCGGCTCGCTCTGACCAACTAAAATCTCCTCCAACATACGCCTCAGCCACACCACCTCCTTTGCCCCATGATGCAGGGCCATGTACTCTGTCTCACACGAGGACTGCCCCACCTCATTCTACTTCTTACTGCGCCAGCTCACTGCACCACCTCCAAACAGGCACACGTAGCCTCCAATGCTGGTGCCATCCGCCTTCACAGAGTTGAAGCTAGCGTCGGTGTAGCAAGTCAAGAGCATCTCCCCCTTGCTTAAATCAGCTGCACCCCTCTGCAGCCTTTGTCTCACAGCACTGTACTCCAAACCCACTGATGCCGTTGCACTCACATAGCGGACCAACCTCTTGGCCGCTTCCAGCTGCTCATGACTGGGGCGTGAAACCACACTGGCAAGCCTGGATGTTGCAAAGGCAATGTCAGGCCGTGTGTGGTTGGCCGCATAGTTGAGTGCCCCAACCATGGAATGAAAAGTTTCCTGTCACTCTCACCCACCATCTCCTCATCAGCACAGGGCTCCACAATGAACCCCGAAGGTAGTGGGGTTGCTGGCTTTCCTCCATCTTGCAGCCCATACTTCTCGGCCAGCCCCTCACAGTACTTCCTCTGGTGCAACCTCAACACTCCCTTGTCAAGGTCCCTCTCCACATGCATCCCAAGGTAATACTTCACATCTCCCATCTTCGAGCACTTGAACTGCATCTCGAGCATCTCCTCCACACGCTCAATCATTGCAGACGACTCAGAGAAAAGCAGGATGTCGTCCACATACACCAGGAGCATGAGGAACTGCTCCTTCTCTTGCAGCAGGAACAGGCTGTGATCACACTCGCTCTTCTTGAAACCCCCAGCCAGCAGAGTCTCCTCTAACTTGTGGTACCATGCACGAGGAGCCTGCTTCAGGCCATAGATGGCCTTCTTCAGCCTGCACACCCTGCCGCTCCCATCATCCAAACCCTCAGGCTGTAACATGTACAGCTCCTCCAGAATGATCCCATTGAGGAAGGCGGTGGTGATGTCCATCTGCTTCACCCGCCATCCACGGTTTGCTGCCATTGCCAATGACACCCGCACTGTTGTGCCTTTCCCCACAGGAGCATAGAGCTCGTTGAAGTCCTTTCCCTTTGTCTGCTGAAACCCCTTAGCCACAAGCCTTGACTTGTAGCGAGTCAGCGCCCCATCAGGTCCGTACTCGTGCCTGAAAATCAGCTTGGAAGAAATGGCCTTCTTCCCAGGAGGCAGCTCACACAACTCCCAAGTCTCATTCTCCAGCAGAGAGTCGTACTCCTCCTTCACACTCTGCTTCCACTTTTCAGCATCGGGCCCGCTCAATGCCTCAGCTAGCGTCTTGGGCTCAGGGACGGCTGCCTAGTAGCAGTGTGCTATGTCTTCCTCATCACACTGTTAGAATCTAACTAGCGTGAAGAATTGACTAAGGGAATGAAGTTACAAACAAGATATAGGAAACCCTAGCAAATGTGCTAGCACAAGTGTAACACATTGTACAACACCTAGACTAATATATAGAAACTATATAAATATAGTTTGACACACCCCCATAGTCTAGGTGACGGCAGTCCTGTGGAAAGCAACACATATCTCAGGGTGGGCCTCAAGGACACACACAGTCTGAGAGCAAGCAAGGGTCACATGACCAATCAGCAAGAACGAGAAAGGGTCACAAGACCAGTCCACAAGAACAAGACAAATCTCAGGGTGGAGCTCAAAGTCACCACACACTCTGAGGAC